CTTTCTCCTTCCCTCTTTCCTTTCCTTTCTCTTTCCCTTCCCTTCCCATTCTCTTTTCCTTTTCTTTCTCCTTTCCTTTTTCCTTTCCTTCCCTTTCTGCTTTTCTTTCTCTTTTCCTTCCTTCTTCTTTCTCCTTCCTTTCTCTTTTCCTTCCCGTCCCTTTCTCCTTCACTTCCCCCTTTCTCCTTTGTCTTTTCTCCTTCCCTTCCCTTTCTGGTTTCTTTTCGGTTTTCCTTTCTTTCCCATTCTCCTTCCTTTCTCCTTTCCTTTCTCTTTTCCTTCCCTTCCCTTTCTCCTTTCTCCTTCTCTTCCTATTTTCCTTTCCTTTCTCCTTCCTTCCTCCCCTTCCTTCTTTTTCTTTTCTCCTTTCCTTTCCCTTCCCTTTCTCCTTTCTCTTTTCTCTTTCCCTTCCCCTTTCTCCTTCCCTTCCCTTTCTCTTTTCTCTTTTCTCTTTCCCTTCCCCTTTCTCCTTCCCTTCCCTTTTTCCTTTCCTTTTCTGCCCTTCCCTCACCTCAACTCACCCATCTCTCTCTCTCTTTCTCTTACTGGTTCTCTTGTTCTTTCTCCTGTCCCTTTCGTTCTTTTTGAGAGAACAGGCTGTAACTCGAGTTGTCTGTTTGCATCACAGGTTTAATTGATGTCAATGAGACTCCCGAGATGGCTGCCTTACGTGAACTGGAAGAAGAAACGGGTTATAAAGGGGACATCCTTGAATGTTCTCCAGGTAGTTGTTGAGTTTTGCCTTCACTGTTGAAAAAGAAGAAGAAAGGAGGATGGATGCGGTCCTTGGTACTCTCTGAGATTATTTGGGGTAGGGGGGCGGGGTAGGGCTTATATTACAAGCATCCTGAAAAATCATGCAAGGGCTCATTTTCCAGCTGGGTCTTATTTTCAGGGAAACACTGTAGTAGCAGAACCCTTGTACGATAACTCAGAGTCCCCAACCCTCCCTAGCAATAATATGCCACTATGAGTTTTGGGGTTTGGTATTGTTTTTTTAATCAGGCAACCTGGTCTACCCAATCAGGGGATGGAGCATGCTGCTTCCTCTTTCACTTTCCAGCCCCAATCCAGGGGCCTTTGAAACAAACTATTTTTGTGTTGAATTTGTGTTTTAATGACAAATAAAGGGAGACTAATCTGGATCTATTTCAAGCCATTTAGCTCTCGTCAGCTAGCCATGCCCTTTCTGGGATTTGAACCCAGGCTCCTTGCATATACCATGTTTCCCCCAAAATAAGACCCAGTCTTATAATTTTTTTTTGCCAGCAAAAAAAGACAGCAGGTCTTATTTTGGGGGAAAGTCCTCCACTGACTAACCTCACTTGCGCACATCGCCCCCGGCCTCCTTTTTGCTCTCCGAGGCCTTCAGGAACTTCTTCTACAGCCAGCAAGACTTTCCTGAAGGCCTCTGCAGCTGATAAGAGAGCTCAGGATCGATCCAGAGCTTTGTTATCAGCTCCAGAGGCCTTGAGGAAAGCCTGGCCGGCTGGGCGGGCCAGGCAGGTATCAAGGTGTGTGAGGCCTGGCTACACCTGTCCACAGGTAAGTAGTAGGGCAGCTTCACACACACCCTATCCCCACCCTAGTTTAATTTTTACTCATCCACTCTAGAGTGGGCAGGATCTTAATTAGGCCTTAATTTGGGGGTAGGGTTTATATTGGGCGCACATGTAAAAATCAAGCTAGGACTTACTTTCAGGGTAGATAGTATTTTAAGGGAAACAGGGTATTAAATAGATGTATTAATCTGTAAGCCATGGGCTCTCCTGGCTTTTTTTGTTTGTACCAGGGGAAAGATTAAGTGGTTTGTTTTTTTTTTAGTTTTATTTTTTGCCACTGAGAGGTCCAGCAGGATTAGAAGCAGATCTCCTGGAAAGAGTCTATCCGTTGAGTCACTTAAAGGTCTCCACCCACTTAACAACACTTAATTAGTCCAATTAAATCTGGGTGATTATGTTGCTAAATCGGGAAACTGGTATTGTTGACAGGAGAAAGTTGGTGATAACATGCTAGACAGGTTGAAAAGGTAGACAAAACAGTTTTTGGAAGCAGAGTTGAGTTGGAAGGGACCTTGGAGGTCTTCTAGTCCAACCGCCTTCTCAAATAGGAGACCCTGTACCATTTCAGACAGGTGGTGTCCAGTCTCTTCTTAAAAGCCTCCAGTGATGAAGAAGGAAGGAAGGAGAAGGAAGGAAGGAAGGAAGGAAGGAAGGAAGGAAGGAAGGAAGGAA